CTTGTAACATTCCATTCCCCTAAACCCTAGACGTGTATAGTAAGGTCTAGATCAGGCTCCAAGTCACACCCAGCCCGGAGTATTGTGGGCCCATCATTAACCCAACCAGGGCTTAGGGTTTAGGGACTCTTTCTGCTAGTAACCAGTGATCTGAGAATCACTCTCAGTGTTTTGGTGCCATCAGTACGCATGTCCGAAGCACAGGTTGAAACCCACGCCAACAGCCCGAAGAACACCTTCGACGGCCTAACATCGCGACGGAAGCCATGTGTAAGCAAGATCCCAAAAACACGGTAGATCCCTGGCCCCCACATACGACAGAGCCCCTCAAGGACCCAGAAATTTCCTACATGGTATCTTCTACCTGGGGGCCCGCTTAGGAATCTATCTGAGCCTCATCGGCAAGCGCGGGCTCGGGCGACTCCTGAGGCAAAGCTTCGTGGCTGTTAGAAGCGACACTTTGGAGGCCTCAAGGACTCCCGCGGCCTCTGATTTGCGTAGCTTAACCCTCTAGCTCTTGTCGAAAATGGAACTTCAGGCAGGTGCTGCGTAGCGCGAATGGAATCACAAGCTTGCTTTCTTGTAGAATCATAGGGTCTTAAGGAGGGCCCCCCACATAACAACCCTCAGAATAAGGTACCTATAGGGGCTATTGAGGCCATATTACAAATATTTTTAGGTTTGATTAGGGGCTTATCTTTAAGGTTGAACTGTGGGGGCCCCCCCTTTAGGATCCTAAACCCAATAATTGACCACCAACACTTGCAACTCAAAACCCCAACAACCCCAAACCCTTATAATCGCTAAGAAAACCCTTAAACCCTAGCAAACCTGAACCCCTACAACTCCTACACCCCCAACCCTGAACTCAAAACCCTAACAATCCCACACCCTTACAACCCTAAAATTCTACACCAAAAACTGTCTTCTTACTAATATGGCGATTCTTGCTAGTCTGCTATTACTACTAAAACTACTAAAACAAAACGTGTTGCGCACGTCGTCCTCGAAGCCCAGGAGCTCCCTCAGCTGAAATGCACGCGACTCGGACAGGCCCTGGCACCATAGCTTCAGGCTGCTCGTGCCAAGACCCTCCTCGTTCCGTTTAAAAAGCGGTATATGGTCCCTATTTGCGGTATATAGAGGGTAGATGAAGGGTCTAGTACAGACTGATGGAACGACAAACAATGGAAACTGTATGTAACTACAGAGGTAGGTAGGTAGGTAGGTAGCTAGGTAGGTAGGTAGGTAGGTAGGTACATATATGTGTCTTAGGGCTAGGGCTTGTGGCTCAGGGGAGGAGTGGGCAAGAATCGGGGCAAGAATATGGAGACAATCTGGCTTTAGGATTCCAAGCAACCCTAAACCATACAGTAAATCCTTTGTGCGATGTACTCCTGGCTTTGTCTGCACAGTGGGCGGGGCCGCTGCTTCCGCAGGATACAATGCATTGGGAATCACTCATTTTCGGATACCCACCCAAGCTATTTTCCGCCAGTCTGCATGTCATTTTCCATGTTCTTTTTCATTCGATTCTCAATTATTGGGGGCTAGCCAAACCCTAAACCCCTATACAACTTTGAGCCCCAGCTTTGGCATTCCGCGCCGTGGCCTATTAAAGGTATACCGGCCCGTCAACCTTGTGAGAAGCGGTGCCAGAAAGATCTGGGTTTAAGTGGCACAGCTTCCACTCGCTACCCGCAAATAATAGGATCCTTCTTGTAGGAACCCCCAAAAAGGACCCTATACAGTAGCTTGTGGAACCCACATTCATCACGTACACATTAATTAAGTCCCAATAGCGCCATGCCTCGGGAAACCGGAGGCTGATGGCAAGGAAAAGGTTCCCGAAATTGAAAGGATCCTGGCAACGGCTCATGCGGTTCAGGGCTTTAGGGCTTAGGGATGCTTTGTATAGTGCTCAGGTGGTGGTTGCCTAAGGCTCAAGGTTCAGCATCGAACAGCGAAGATCTATTGTCCTCAAGGAAGAGAAGCAAAATGAAACAATGATCCTTGGGTTTAGGGTTCCAGGTGTCGCTGTGGGAATATGAGGAGAGCTTTATGGTCTCTGAAGTAGAATGTACATTCGCTTACTCAGAAAGGCCCTGCTTCTGAAAATGCAACTCCATATCTTGCTACGTATGGGATGCCCTGCAGACCATGCCTTCACACAACCAAGTGACGTCACGCTGAAGTAAATCGGAAATCTGGGGGATTCTTCGAAACAAAAAGGGCACAGACTGATTCATGAGCTCGTAGCAAACCATTTTAAAGTGAAAGACCGGTACTTGACCAAAGGCGCACATTCAAAGTTATTGGACGGTTGCACCGTTTCCGGATTGAAAAATGGGAATCGAGGGTTGCTTGCTGTTCATATTCACATCTTAGTCATCCTAATTAAGTTTCTTCTCTCTCTGTTTGTTTCTCTCACAAATTTCTTCTCAAGTCCTATATAGCCTATACCTTCATCTCCATAAGCGTCTGCTCGGGATTCGGGAATGGAAAAAAGAGCTTCCGTAAGAGCTTCCGCAAGCAAAGGGCTTCCGCGCGCACAGTGGAGCCACTTGTCGGAAGTTGTTGCCGGCCGGTTTCCGAGATTTCTCCGTATTTAATTAACTTTCCTCTGCCGCCTATCTTTTAACTGCCCTTCTGGGAGTCGGGACAACCACTTTACCCCTACTGATGCCAAAAGCCCAAACAAGGCACTCTGATAAAATTGAATGCCCACTTCTTAAAACAAATCCCTACACCACGCACGGGCGAAACTACTACCGGGCATGTTGGAATTAGAGAGGGTTCTGTTGGTGGATAACCTTGAGGATCTAAGTACACAAATGATACCTGCATCTCGCCCTAAAGTTATAACTATTACCTACATTGGGCCGGTTGGATCCTTGAATCCTTAACGTAATGCACGCCCAAGCCTAACCCAGCCCTGCATCGCACAAATCCTTAATAGTAATAGTAATAATAATAATAATACTAGTAATACTAGTAATAAGAATAGTAATAATAGTAATAATAATAGTAGTAAGAATAATACAAATATTAATAATAATAGCAATAATAATAGCAATAATGATAGTGATAATAGTAATAGTAATTCACTCTGAAGGTCCTGGTGGATCGGCATACCACCGCCGCTGACGCCGCGGAGGATAAGGCCACCGTGTGCTGGCTTCAGCACCTCTTGGCATGTGAGCAAATATAAACACATATACATACGTGATATGTACCTAAAAGGGGATGTGATTATGATCGTATGTGATTCAGGGATTCCGGTCGAGAGCTTACTAACTAGCAGATAAGGGTTGGTTTGTTGGTGGTTGAAAGAAGGAGTACATTTTCTCGTCAAATGCTAAAACCAAAGCGGAATGATAATCCTATTCTATATTATATCGTGGGCTTGAGAATCTCTGCTTAAGAAATACGGGTGTGGGGATTTCTGAGGGGACAAACCCATGAGAAAAACATGTGGATCCCCTTGGCAATCATATGGGGACCACTTTGAGTAACTCAAATGAGGCAGGCTCTTACACTGGGATGTAATGATAGGTGTCGCGGTTAAACTTGTAAAGTGTGAAAGATGTTGGTCTTAAAATGTTAGCGCTAGGGATTCTGGATTCATATCTAGAAAACTCAGGATTTGGCTAGCTGCCATGCGATACCTCGTCTAAGGTTCAAGGTTCAGTGTTGAGTCTTCAGTTCATCTAATGTCTCAGCTTCGGTGCTTAAGCTTGAGGTATGGAGTCTTGTTGATCTGCCTGTCTAGGGGTTCCCGATCAGCGCTCACGACAAAAAAACGCTGAACAATCGTCAAAACGTCTGAACACATCGCAAAGCTGTGCAGCCCGTATCATGGCCTGTATCCGACGAAAGCTCTCAACAAAAATTCAACTAATGGACCCCTCACTTGGGCTCGTCATTTGGACACTGATTTAGATCTGATGTTCTTTGTCAGGTTTCAGCATGACAAAAATCACAAGCCAGCCAGCTCAACAGCGACCCAGAGTATCCTGGAGCAAGAACCATGCAGGCTGCTTTTCAGTGCGGCGAATCAAGCGAAGTGACCCGGATCCTTAGATGGGGGCGGACTCGTGTAGGGGAAGCTGCGATATTGAGCTACCAAGGGCAGTGGAGGTATGTTGTTCTTGTGATTTCGTATGTGCTCACATGTCAGCTTGGCTTTATTGGATGCGCCTAGCTGAAACCACGCTTCGAATGTCCGCCACGTCCATGACAGTCCAAAGGTACAGGATCTTTGTTCGTTACTCGTCATTTGGTCGAGATTCATCAAGGATTCCCTCATAGCCCCGAGCCCTAGCATGTGTATGTGTCCTTTCATGAGGGGTACCTATAATGACTATAGTATACAGGGGTGCATTAACGGTCATCTACAGCCGACAAATAAATACCGCCAGGTTAGCTCCTATAGTCCCAAGCTTTGCTGCATGGAGAATCCGTGATTAGTAAGTCCCTTCCTTAGCTAAGGGGTGCATCATTAATAGGATTAGGATCCCTATTGCAATCCCTATCAGGGGGAGGGGGTTTATCGATGACGAGTCTACTTTAGATGGTCCAAACAGGGCCCTTGATCGTTTGGCAAGCTGCAAGCTCCTCCATAAAAAGGCTTTATTGGGCTCTTTAGGGGGCTGAATAAGGTCGACATCCATAACTTGCCCATGCGCAGTTGGCAACTACCATAGGGTCATTGCCAGAGATTACATAGCGGCTGGCATACGGCATACGGACCCCCCATACCCTAAATCCTGATCACCCCTACAGCGCGAGTACCCCTCCAGGAATGAAGGAATCAGTCCTTAAGTCCCTCCATATTAATATAGAGTACCTTCCAACGTCTTTTCCATTCCCCCATCCCATATCCCTATGACCCCATATAAGGGCCCTAATTAATGTCTCCATTGCAGGTTCCATTATCTTTTTATTTGGTTCTCGATTGTTCGGTATAGGCAAATCCTTTCAGGATCCAGTGTCTCAGGCTAAGAGGTCTGTGTCATCTCGCAGGACACCGTCTCAGCAGATCGGGCTGGGCCCGAACGTCTGGGCCTGGCTGTGAGAGGATTTATGGATTCCGGGTTTTTGGGTTTTCGAGGTTGAAATGTTCAGGGATTGGGGGCTGGAGGTTTACCGTGCAGGGTTTGGAGTGTAAGGTCGAGGGTTTCCAAAGTAAAAATCTCGCAGGGTGGGTCCTGCGTGCTCCAGAAGCCCTTGGGCGTCCAGAAGGAAACAATACTTGGAGGGTCGTGGGAACTTATCGAGTTGGTCAATAATAGGGATAATTCGGGTTGTTGTATAGCTTATATGTGTTATTAACCTACTTACCAAGTCCCCTTGACCTTGCAAGTAAAGACCCCAAACCCTCAACCCTGAAACCTAAACCCTAAATCCCTCAAAGTATGGGTCCCGTTCTGCAAGTTCCCGATCAGAAGGATCCAAAACTCCTTTGCCTTGGGGTGTAGAGGAGGACCTGGATTTTGAGAGAACTTGAAGATGTTAGGATTCGGAGGTTGCAAGTTTGGGTCTAGAATCCGTTCAATGAATTTTCAGGTTGTTTTTTGGCGACAACGCCTTCACTGTGCAGGCTCCACCCATCATCCCCAACCTGAGATTCTAAACCTCTAAAGCATATGACCCAAACGCTTAATCCTGAACTTCTTGAAGGGTAATATGGGTTTGGTACAACATTGTCCCAAATTTGATTGTCAAGGATGAGACCCAACACATCGCCATCGTCTACGCTTTGAGGGTTTAGGCTACAGGGAGCATCCCCAGTCCCCCAAACAGCTTATGTTTTGGGAGATGACCAGTCCCCCAAACAGCTTATGTTTGGGGAGATGACCTACTGACTGGACATCCCTACTCGTTCCCGAAGTGGTGAAGTTGTCATGTTCTTAGAAGTTCTTTGGACTCTTTTCCCAGCCAGCAGTTCTACAGGCCGTGCATGATAACTACCCACAGCATCTCGCACTTGAAGTCCTGTATAGCACGGAACTGATAAGTACCATCTCTACATTCAAAGAGGGAATCCTCCGGCCTCCTCACCACCGCAACTGCGCTTCCCGCCACAAGAAGGCCGAAGCCCATCCACAGCCAGGGGAGACTGTGGTCCTGACCACAGCGCAGGAACACACAGAGACTCGCAGACTTTGACATGTGTTGTTTTCCTTTACCCGGACCCCCTAAAGGATCACCTAGTTTCCCCAATATAGCCATGGGTTCATCTTGGGGGGGGGGGGGTCCATCCATTTTTTGGATCCTTTAGGGGGTCTGGGTAATTGTTTTTACCGTCATTTGCCTGTCAGCCTCATGAGCCTCGAGGCAGTGCCCAATGCGCTGATCAAGAAGAGTGACACGAAAAAAGAGGAGAGAAGAAGAGAGAAAGGCAAAGAAGTAACGAGGGAAAGGAAATCTCATGATGATCTTTAGTGAGCATTCGGGCACCTCTTAATTCGCGCTTGATGCCTGCAGACTGTGGGGCACTGGCTGATGTCAACACTTCGTGCAACATTAGGGAACTTGAGCTGTCCACGAGCACAAACATAGCCGCTTTCACAACATCTAAGATCAAAAGCCAGATTGCAGGGTATATACTGGGGTAATATTATAGCGATAATGGAAAAGAAAATGGAAGCTACTACAGTATATCGGAGTTATGTAGGGATATAGTCCCCCTTACGTAGATAAAGGACGGGAAGAGTTGGAAACCTGCCGCAGTCGTCTCATAAAATGTACGGATCAGGTGTAGGAATTCAATGTGGCTTGTGGGGTTTTGAGCGCCATGAGTTTAGCCAGGACTCCAGACTTTTTCCATGGCACCGGCGCCAATCTTACCTTTTATCACAATATTGACTGTTGTTTTTGTTGTTGTGATTCCTCCGTCATGGTCCGTAATACAGTTACGTGGGAAAGTTTGATTGCTGTTGGGTTTAGGGTCTAGGTTGGGAAAGTTTAAATGCTGTCCACAAGCCCCCCACGGTGGATTGATTCACTGAAGCTGGGCACATGCAGGCCATGAACCCCCCCAACCATCTCCCGTAAACTCTGAGGTACAGAAACCCCAAAGCCAAAACTCCAATGTTGGGTCAAAGTCCCGAAGCACAAACCCCCCAAACCCTACCTAAACCCCAAAAGTATGTAGAAATCATAGCCTTTGTAAGGGGTTTAGGCCATTATCTCACCTACCTTTTGGGGCTTCAGGTAAACCCCACCCTAAACCCTAAA